AGATCGCCTTTCTTCGGTATTTTGATCAGAAGTCCTTCTTTCCAGTCTGTTGGTACTTTTTCCTCATCCCAAATCTTATTGAAAAGAATGTGGAGTATCCTTGCATTTGCCGCTACGTCTGCTTTCAGTGCCTCTGCTGGAATGTTGTCTGTTCCTGCTGCTTTGCCACTCTTGATTTTTTTGATGGCCATGCTGATTTCTTCAATTGTTGGTGGGCCAACATTGATTGGGAGGTCCGTGGGTGCTGCTTCTATGTTGGGTGGGTTCAGTGGGGCTGGTCGATTCAAGAGTTCTTTGAAGTGTTCTACCCACCTGTTTCGTTGCTCTTCAATGTTGGTGATTACCTCGCCTTCCTTGCTTTTCACTGGTCGTTCAGCTTTGAGGCGATTTCCAGAGAGTTTCTTTGTTATATCATAGAGTTGTCTCATGTTTCCTTCTCTTGCAGCCTTTTCCACCGTCTTTGCTAAATCTTCCACATATTTACGTTTGTCGGTTAAATATGTGGAAATATGTAGAAAACTAACTCGCTAAAAAAACGCTAACTAGAAAAAAATATAATACACATAGTAATCGATTTATGATTGATTTATCTAAATTTAACTACTTAGATAAAAAGAATATTAGACTTTCACATTGTTATTACAGGAAATATCAGTCAGCAGGCGCTACTACGTAGTAAAATACAATCAAACATATGTGTACATGATAGGGCGTTACTAATTAACGGCTTCTGTTTGCTAGCACGAAACGTAGGTCCAGAAACTCCTGTTCACTACCTCCATCCACCATCTTATTTCAAGGATTATTTATATGCAAAATAAAATGGATTAAAAGTAAGCTTGATATGAAGTTCTGGTTGAATTAGCTGCAAACGTTTAATCACGACATTCCTTTTGTGTAATTTTCATTAAACATAGTGATGTGAAATTGATACTGCATAGAAAAACAAGTATATTTTAATTTGTTCATACGGAAACTTAATTGCGTATATAAATTCTTCGATTAATTCTTTATGTGGGTGGAATGAAGTCTGTAAAACCTTTGTAAAGAAGACAAACCATTTTCAGAAATGCTTTCTAAGCATACAAGTTTCATAGTATTAAAAAACTCAATATATTTTAATTTTTCTGAAATAATCCAAATATATATTCACGTATAAATCTGTTTTCTAACACTTCACAAGCATTCCAACATACTAATCAACCATAATTAATTGAAATAATACAAAAAATGTATTTGTAATAATATCTACGTAAAGTTCATTAGTTTACATTACACACTCGTGATATTATTTATTTACTTATAAGTACGTCTATTTATCTTAATTAAGTAATCAGTTGAAAGCAAGATCTGATAGCCAAAATACATTCAGTCACTTCATAAATAAATTGTTCACCCGGACCAGTGATTTGGTTAAATATTATTTTCTCGGATCTCTTATAGGCAAATGTTTCGAAGTGTATCCTCAAAGTGATATCATCGGTTCGTTGATCCACTCCAAATAAATCATCTCCAGGTTATTTATTCTTTAATGTTTCACATTGGAAAACTCCCATTAAACGAGGATTTCTGCAGAAACTAAACAAACATGCACAATTTACCAAATTAAGATGTTATAGCTCTCCAATTCATACTGGATGTCTGAAGGTTCAGCTGCCCACACATTCTACCTTTTCTAATCGCTATTTAAAATACTCACTAAACATAATACTAATCTAGATATCTATATTTGAACCATATATACTTAACTGAATCGCCAACTATTCAAACCATTAGGTTTCACGGTTTGAAACCAGAAAACAGTTTGTTGAATAGTATGATCTATTTACAAAATACTTTACATCAGGATTACCCCTACAAAAAGCTCTGTGTAGAATAATTACTTTTGACATTAATATTAATTTACCTTAAACGAAGAGTATACTTACAATAAATTACTCGTTAGTTTTATAGTTCGAGTACCATGAATTGATTTCATAATCACAACTATGACCATGTTTTTAACGAATTTAGTCACGATCGATCCTGAGGCACACAAATGAAAGCTGAAAATATACAGTTGTTAGGGGTTTGGATACATTTTAAACTATGCACGAAGTTCATCACAGATATTTCGTCAATAATGGTAAGTGTAGCGTAGAATTTCCCACATCACTACTTCGTTACATTAAACCTAGTCATCAAACGAGATACTTTAATCAAAAATTTCGAAGTTCGCTCATTACAGGATATTATCTGACCAACCAACTAATGAATATATATCGATCCCATTCCTGATGTCCTACTACTTATCATTATTCTCACGTCCAGTGTGTCATAGTTGATAAATAGAATAAAGATCTCTATTAGCTGAAGACACTGTGTTGATGATTCTAATTAACAATATCGGAACTACACACATGACATCATCTCAACATATGTGTGGATAACAATCACAAACAAGACACATAACCATGTATAAACCAAATCGATTACATTTAATACTATGATACTCTCATACAGTTTGTTATCAGATCTTACCAGAGTTATCGAGAAGTCAGAATGATTCAATTGACCATCACCTGTTTTGTTGCACTAGTTATTAGAACGAATAATAATTCAAGTTTTACAACTAAGGCATTCATAGGGGGATGTACAAACACAAAATATCAAATTACACAGTTGTTATGCGTTTGACGAAGAATTCATGTTAATAGACAAATAAAATGAGATCATGCCAACGATAACTCTGATACGTACGTATCTACACCACTGATGCTCTTCTCTTTTGCCTATATTTTGACAAATATATTTTCAATTCACTATATGCGACAAAGTGAACGTGATTCCGAAATTGATGTACGAAAATGCATTCGCATCTCGTAGATTAGACAATTTTTTCAAAATGTGTGTTGCAATTGACTGAGGTGAAAATTAAGTGAGATTATACTTAGTTAGTATGGAAAATTAACTAACCACCAGTCTTGTTATACGTGCCAATTACTTCGTCATGCTACTTGAGATCATTTCAAACGGATTTCGTTGAAATATAGATTCGTTTTTCTAACGTTTCCTAATCGAACACTACAGTGTAAATTAGATTGGTTATACGCTGGACTATTAGAAAACAACAAGAAATGCGAAGTATTAGACAAGAATGTTAGATGTGTACCATTCTACTTTGTTACAGACAGCGGATTATAACCAAAGTACAGGTTGTTACATATGTTCGACAGCCCAACTTAACACATCAACAGACCAAGGTGAACCTTAAAACGATCAATAACTAACGAGTCGAAATATTAATGCTATCAATAGTGATGTTGCGTATCGATTGACTAATTCTGAAGTCCTACCAATTCAGAGGACCTATCATGACAATGACAAGTTAGACGAAAACTAGACAGAGCTATTAAGTCCGAACTCACCGGAGTGAGCTACCTACGAAATTGGCACTGTCCAAAATTTCATGAAGTCTAGTCATATTACTTATGTGTGAAATGTATTAAACTACTACTCAGTGAGAAACCTATTCTGCTGTACAGTTAATTTGTCTTCTCATATCTGTTCATTCGGCAGTTACGTCAACAATCTGGTCTCATGAGAAGACATCACGCTGCCACATCGTGTCATTGCACATCATTTGTCGATCAGCGTTCTGTTCTAGTAACCAGAAGCCTTGTTCGTCTATCACTAAATCCTTAATCATAACACAATGACTATCTTAATTTCCTCCTCTGCAATTTCACTCTGGCGATGATACCACATTCCAAAATAACATTAAAAAACTAGTATTCACTTTGGATATACGACATAACCACGCTAGAACACCAAACATTTGTACCTATCTTCACGACCAAACAAACCCTTACAGTTAATCTGATGCAATGATAGCCCCTGTTAACACCAACCAACCCTCAAACTGGAGGCTTGTGAAACATTAGTTTTATGCAATCGACTTTCATTAAACTAGTAATTTCGGACAGTGGCTTATACAGTTAACTGATAGACATCCATTTACCTGGAAGTGAGCGTAATCTATACAATGAAGCCCACTAATACATACACAACAAAATTAGCCATGAGATATCAAAGCATAGACCATCCAGATCTTTGGAAAATACTTTATTCAGCAGGGCTTTAGATTGTTTTCTACAGTAAGTGTAAAATATAAACTGCACTTTCGATCCACCTAAATGTGTATCACCCAGTTTCCTTGTTATTGTAGAGATGGTTATGTTAGCCATAAGAAGCGAGCCCTTGGTAAATGAATATCCTAGCACTACCCTGCATGGTTATCTAAATGGGTATACAATTCACTCAATAACTCTTCTCGAACACATGGTCAATTCAGGTCACACCCCATCACGCATATGTGTTCAAAATCCTCAAAAAAGGTTTGGATGAGGAATTTATGCACAGCTGAGGTTATAGTAACTAACCATATCAATACTGAATTCTGTGTAAAGAAGAGACACGTTCAACCCCTTATTCTCCCATGATAATCACATCTTCAAAACTTACAAATTATAATTGCTAATTATTATCATCTGCTTCTCCTCCGTTATTAAGTAGACACTTATCTCTATCTTTTATCCCATAGATCAATATCTTTTATTGCTTCCAAAACTATAACATACCACAAGCACTTGATTGTCAATTACTTTGTTAGATGACGCAACCTTCCTTATAAAATTTAATTACATTAAAATAATATCTTTCGATTTATAAATTATTACTTGAAATACTTGAAGGTTTTCGACAACGACTATATCATTAAAAAGGACTTTATTATGACTAACCTCCACTTAAATAAATCTAACTATCTTTGATAATATTGTAAAACCCCTCTATATTACGATAGACTAGTACACATAAAAAATCACTCATCAAGACAATAGTACAGCTTCAGGAAATGATGTCGTCGAAAAAAACTTTCTTTGCTGAAAAGTCTTCTTTTTCTTAAATAACGGTCATTGATAATACAAACAAAGTCTCCGAACAGTTGAAATCAAAATAATGGGGAAGTTAGTTAAGATAAGCATCCACATACAGAAGTGAACTCAATCGCTTAAGAGATACATTCCACAACCAACAATAACACGTTATGATTCAATATATAAAAAGCATTTCGGTATCTCAGATATGCAGGAAAAATAACTGATGTCAAGTAATAAAAAGGGAACGAAGTATGAGAGAATAAGGCATTTCCACACAAGACAGCATGTTCAAACTTGGAAAAGTGAATAAACAGGAACGCCGAGATCTTCTAGTTTTTTACGTCCAGGCAGATTTTTCAGTTCCATGTACAACAAGCTGAATAAAACCTTAGCTCCAGATAGGTTTACCAAATTAACACAAGCTTCAAGACTTCCACCAGTAGCTAAAACATCGTCCAATAATAATACATTATCACCAGAATTGATAGCATCCTTTTGCATTTCTACGGTATCCTACGGTTACAAATAAACAGTAAGACAATGAAGGGCATGTTCCAGAGCAATATTGAGTGAAATAAGTATAAATATCGATTAAAATTGCTATTCATGTAGACGATTGACTCTACCATCCCTACTATCAAGACTACTGCGAAAGACTTACAAAGGGTATTGGGTTCAATGCTAAACCTATACTTAGAATAGTTAACACTTCTGAGTGACTCCAAATGGAAGCTAGACTTTCCAACCTACCCTGTGAAGAGTAGTTACACTTAATGTTTCGGTAGATAAAGGGACTGTTTTATATCAGCAGTAATCACACCCGATGAAACACTAATAAATTTCTACAACCGTGATCGATTAGTCACACTGAGAAGTTGCCTCCTATTGTGTAATTTGCAATCGAAAATTCTTGGCAAGTCATTATAGGAATGTTTACGATTGCTTTTACAAAACATTCGGATCATAAAAGAGACAACAAAATAAGCGAATGACATTTATAGATATTCCAGGCTAATTTAAACTGGATTTAAAACAGTTTGTACGCTGAAGAGCTCAAAATTCGATACTGCAGCTCTGTTGATTCTTAAGCACCTCAGACAATGAATGTTTGAGCGCATGGTTTTTTCCTTTTCGTTATAAGTATACAAACTTTCTATTGTTAGGAAAGTAAACAATGAGCCAAGCAACCACTGTTGCAACTGACTGATTAGTTAGTTTAGCTAGTATGTGTCAAATGACCAAATCTACTACACTAGTCACAAGTGAAATATTAATTCGTCACTTGTGTGGAGCTAATTGCAAAAATAACAATCTTTACGTCACAAATCATATGATTTGCCAATTGATAATTACCACGAACTTACAGTTCCATATTCCAATGTATATCGATGAGAGAAGCAAGGACCTGGAAGTTTTCCCGCTTTTCGAATAGGGACGAAGGAACAGTTCAGACGAAGGGCAAGTGCTGGTCCAAGAAGAAAGCCGCGTGACTCGAGGCCCACAACAACATCTATCTTCTAACGTACTGTACACAGGTTGTAACACAACTTACTTTACATTTACGCGCTACCTCGGATGTCGCCACATAATATAATTCATCCAATAGATATTGGGTTAAAACAGGATTCATGAAAACGCCAAAGAAGTCACTTCATAGGTATAAGCACATATTATATGGAAAGGACAAAATACCGGAAGAGAATGCCTTTCACTGGAAAGTTCGGTATAATCCCGACAGCTGACTCGATGGCTCTAAGTCTAGAATCGCGATCAGACATTTTACGAAATAGACTGTAACTGTAACATCGACAGCTCAGTCCGATCAGTATTTATACACTTATGTTATCAGATGTAATGAAGACAGGTTGTTGTACAAGCACTACTTAGTTCATTAAATGAGAGTTTAGTAGGATAATTCTTGGTAATGTCCTTGATTCATGCCATGAAATTCACAACATGTATTTCTTTCTTACATTTTGTGGACTGCGCTACACCGAACCTGTGTTCCATGACGACAATATAGTCGACCTCATTGATTTTGCTAGAGAGCCCAGCTGAATGTGCTCGATCACTCACACCAGATCGCCATTAGGTACATCGTGCTACGTGTCCTTTCCAACTATTAGCTAGCTTAGATCAAGCGTTTATTCGACATACCGATAGCCCATCAAATATATCCTGGGAAAAAAGTCCGCGCTTTTCGAACGGAAAGTTTAGTCCTAACGTGATTTGCATTTATCAAACGTTTGCTGTTATCTTACGCAATAAAAGTACCATTTCTGGTCGAAATAACCTATTCTGAGCTATACATTTGACAGCTTACTTTTTTTCGAGTTTCACACAATTTAATAGTTAACTGTGGTTTTGCCACAGCTTACCAATCGGTTCTTTTCAGTTTTTCACGTAAATGCTAGTTCAGTTCGTCTCACACGTTTTTAACCTTTTTTGCCCGTTTTTAGTGTGCTTTTTAGTGTATTTTTAACGGTCTTAGGCTTTTGCTAGCATTTATAACACAGTTTACGTCAATATGGTCATGCAAACGACCTAGATGCCATTTTTCTGTTACATCTGACATGCAGTGCGACAACTGCAAAGTTTGATTCTACGAAGCGTGTACAGATCTCATAGCAACTGCTCACAACAGGCTCAGCAAGTCGGATCATAAGTGAGAATGTGTTACGTGCAGCACTTATGCCGTAGTCTTGTTGACTATCATCATTGTCCTACTGACAGGTCTGCGGAATAAGACAGTCATAAAACGGGTAGACAAACAAGGATGCGCAACGAAAACAAGAATAGGAATTTCGATAGTCCTACCATCGATGGAGCACGCGTTAGCACTAATGATGACATGCTGAATCTCAGCACCGTCATTACGTCGACGGTAATAGACTCCCTCAGTAAACTCGGGTCCCCCGGCCCAGGGCCCTTGAATGTGGCAGTGGTACCCAAAAACTCTGTAGGTGGTTGGACCCATGTTACGGAGCTAAAAAGAACCAGGCGTCACCGTCTAAGCTGAACATCCCAAGAATGTCCGTTCGGTCATCAAAGAGCCTAGGAGTCGGAAACGTGCTTCGACCTCTAAACAACAAAGTGCTGAACCTGAACGCACCGGAAAACCTGGAAGACCAACAACGGTTTGTGATGACTATCTCATAATCAAGAACTTTAAATACAACCCTGACCTTCCTCTCAGTTTGCAGGACAAAAATGGCAGGATGCTCTAGGGTGAATTGAACAAGAAACTTGAACTTTCTAGAATAGAGCCTTTTGACAGTTACACGGCTCACTTGGGGAAAGGAATCTAAGCGTCAAAATCACCCTAGGCTACTTCGTGTAACACTTAAGAATGCTACCGACGTAGAGGATGTCCTGCGAGTTAATGATGTACTGAAATTCAATGGGAACGTAAGAATACTGCCCGACATACCGTATTCTGAGCGCAATCTCATCCACAGCATCCTTAAAGAACCTCACGAGCTTTTCCGCGCAAGAAATATCATTGTGCAAGGTGTACTGGAAAACACGAAAACTAGTCAAACAAACTCTGATATTAGGGAATGGAAATTCATCAAACAGTCCTTGAGGCTCGAAAACATACTGACTCAACATGTGACGATACTAGCCAAGAAGAACGGTGATTCTAGACCCCGGCTAATGAGGATAACCTTGCCATCCTTCCATATGGCGGCCGCTACTCTGGAAGCATTTCGTACCAACAGACGTCGGTTGTTAACTGGATCCACATGCACCCGGACAGGCTATATGAAGTCAGGACCAAGCACAAAGACAAGTCGGAGCTCATCATTCCACTTGTGGACTGTCTTGTTGATAAATAAACGTGTAAAGGATAGGGCCCACCAACTCGGCGAATCTTATATAGGTAGGCTATCTGTCCATTCACGTAAGGCTCATACAGACAAACAGGAAGAAGCTCACGCATTTCAAATTGAAGGCATAGACTGCTTATTTATGAATGCCTGCCAAACAAAATGGATGAGCTACGTGAACTCAGCAGTGCTAATAAGGTCCACCTGATAGGAATATCTGAATCTTGGATATCTTCTCAGTTCTTGAACCAGGAGCTAGCAATACCTGGGACGTCTTTGTTTCGCAACGACAGAAAAACAGGAATTGGAGTTGTTGTAGCCGCATACATACGATCTTGCTCGGAGGAACACCAAGTTCACAACCTCCAGTTTGACAATCTTGAAGAATTCAAATGGTGTTCTGTAAGACTGTCTACTACTTCGAGGTGTCTCGTCGGAGTCATATATAGGTAGCCCACTGCCGGCATCGAGTATGCTGGAAGAACAATCCTGCTCTACGCGTCTCAGTTTCACTCATATCCTGATTCTAAGGAACTTGAATCTCCCTAGAGTCGATTTCGCGGAACATACGTATATTGGAGGTGAAATCTCAACTGAAGCTCGGCTCTGTAACCCCATTGAGGATTCGGGATTATACGAAAATTTGAAGTCGGCAACGCGTTGAAGAAACAGTCAGATTTCCATTGCGCGTAGACTGGATATTAACAAACAAAGAATTCCCAGTTGACAGACTCTCAATCCTGGATCCCCTTGGGAAAAGCGATCACGCCGTTATAGCCTTCAGTTTTGTTCGCAAAACTGAGCTAAGATATCCCACCAACAACAGACGCTGAAATTCCAAACGATTGAATGTGTCAGCTCCACAGGAATATCTACAACAAGTGGATTGGGATGTTCACTCTCAACTCGATGTGGATACTCATTGGGACTTCTGACTGCACACGCTATTATGTGCTACAAAGCAGTCATTCCACTAAACGGTCCCCAAAAGCTACAAGCAATGTACAATCATCAAGAACCGCACTCTTCGCCCTCTAAGCCGCAAAATGCACTGTTGGGCAGAATACAAACGAACTGATAACAATGGAGCATACAGGCAATACAGACATATAAGGAAAATATGCACGAAGGCTATAAGAGAAGACATGCCTCAGTACCAGACAAAGTTTATGGATAAATTTGTCTCTAGTCCGTAAAGCTTATTCCGTTATGCAGCCTCTCTTCATCAAGTTGAAATTGGGGTTTCCCAACTGCGAGGTTTTAACGGCCCGACGAATAACGACGGCAACGCCGCTAACCTTTTGGCTAAACAATACTCTAGGACATTTCGACCGGATCACATCGACTATGCTGATGACAGTTTCATTTGCAACTGCACATGACTTTCGATAGTAAACCAGAGCGCTGACTTGGTGTTCCGGAAACCAAAGCATCTAAGAAAAGACATTCTTCCTGGTCCAGATATGGTTCATTCTGCTATATTGAGGGAAGCAGCCTCAATCCTAGCAACACCGCTTAGTGTGATGTTCTCACACTCGCTAAACCGAGAAAAACTACCGGAAAATTGGAAGCTGGCTCACATCACACCAATTTTCAGAGGAGGTCGACGCAGCGAACCTTCAAGTTACTGACCAGTGGCTCTTCTCTCAATACCATCAAAAATCATGGAGTCCCTGATATGCAGTGGTATATATGACCATTTACTGTCCTTAAATTTCTTCTAACCCCAACAGCATGGTTTCATGAAGAGTTACTCTTGTATAACAAACCTGCTGACTGCGGTGGAAAGATGGACAAGCATCCGTGATCGCAACGGGAGGGTTGACATCATTTACCTTGACTCATCAAAAGCTTTTGATAGGGTTAACCATATATGTCTTATCAATAGGCTCAAACGATTGGGTATCAGAGCACCTCTAATTGATTGGCTCACTTCATATCTGAAAAATAGACATTTTGGGATCAGGGTTAACTTTACATTATCTCAGGCTATGGAATGTCCTAGTGTGGTCCCCCAGGGATCAGTACTAGGACATCTTCTCTTCTTGATTTATATAAATGATCTTCCTCAACAGGTACCGTCAGACTTATTACTCTTTGCTGAAGACGTGAAAATTTGGAGAAAGATTCTCAATCAGTGTTCTGGAAATCTTACTCTTCTTCCAGAACGCGTCGTTTTAAGTTTATTTTCAGACACATTCGGAGTGTCATCGCTAATGATGGTTGTTGGTAGAGGAATTATGAGTGTGTTGTGCGATTGTGCTGAAGGGAAATCAACGAGAATAGGATTTATTTCTGAATACGCTGCTTTTAAGCGATACATGTAGATGCTATCGTTTGTTCCGTTCTCATCACCTATTTAGTACTTAAATTCACATTGAAGACATTTGAAAGCTCCATGGTATGCTGATTCGAATGATCGTCGATGCGAATCTCAACGTACGAAGACGTGTGTACTATATCGTAAGTCAGGTTGAACGAAAACATCAGTTGATTGAGGTCGAGTGGAAACAGGTTTAACTGAACGCATTGCATTTGTAAGCCTGTTCGTGTAGGAGGTTAGATCCATGTTCATTGAAGAGGATGAAGGATCCACGAATTCTCCTGGAAGTTGAAGTGTCGTTCCATAAACGAGTTGAGCCGCAGTGTATCCAATGTCAGCTTTCACTATATTGTGAATACCTAGTAAGACGAATGGAAGAGCGTCAGTCCACTGTGAAACGTCTGCAGCTGATAGTGGAGCTTTCAATTGTCGGTGTAAGCGTTATACCAACCTGTTTGCTTGTGAGTAGTAGGCAGTCGTTCGGAAGCGAGTGATACCCAAAAGTGTGGTCAGACGACGAAAAAGTTCAGATTCAAACGGACGTCCGCGGTCTGTAGTGATGGTTGAAGGGCAGCCGAAGTTTGCTACCCATCGTTCGACGAAGGTACGAGCCACTGTTTCAGCA